CATGATGAAAAGCTCATATTAGCACTTCGGTCCTAACCTCATGAATATCCTTGTAGGAATAAGTGGAATGCAGACTGTAATTTTCATTCATGATCCAAGTGATATTACACTTTGTACCAGTTAAGTACTATGATATGTATTCTCTCTTTCAAAAGCCTTTATCTTAGGGGTATGAGGGTAAAAGATATGGCGAACCGATTCAGCACTACGCTGTGAAGTTGACGTTCACGCTAATTCAGCACCATTAGAATAATGTTTCTAATGAACAACAATCTATATTGGAATGGACAATTTGCCTTGTCGCCAAATAGTAAGAGTATGGCATATTTATATGAATCCAGTAGATCACCACTGAAGTAATTTGAATTTGGACCAATAAAAAACTTTAATAAACCGCTTTCCTGAGGATATGGTATTATTCTCTTGCCCTACATGCCCAGACGGCTATTTAACCAGGTCGTCGTCACACAGGTTGAGTGCCTCTAGTGAGTAAATGCTTATCACATTATTTTATGAGTGTCAGCAAGCGCAGTATCCTGTTCCTCATCAATGATGCATTGGTCTCATTATCCTTTGTAACCGCAAGCTGTGATCCGTCATCACCTCGATCTACTTGGATAAGCAGAAAGTTTTTGGTTTATGATATCATTCGCTGCATTCTCAGCTTTTCAACATTTTTGATCTAATACGTAAGTTACTCTGTTGATGAAAGAACAATTCTTTTCTGAAAGCTGGTCTCTTTCTACCCGGTCATCTGCGTAGCATGCTGACTATCTGATGACTCTATGCCTCATTTTGCTGCTCACAAAAGGAGTTCACAGACTGTAGTGAAAGACTTATGTTCGACCAATTTGTCTAACGTGGTCAGTCTCCTATGCATAATTTCTAAGTCGACTGAGGGTACCTTGGCTTAGAATCGAATAGAGCTATTCCTTACGAGATCCTGTCATTTAACCCTTATTATGCGTCTAAGCCGTTGCCGTTATACACTATCATCGTTACTCATCTTTCGTTAAGGCGACTCTCTCCGTTCAGCACAACAATACTGACCTGACCGAGACAACTTGCAGGCGAAACTTTGTGCACGGAGGTGCACCTTTCTCAGCCCAGTATTAAATAGGTCACCAAAGCCACAAAACGCAAGTGCGGTCCTCAGATATAAACTAATTTTTTTAAAGATTAAAGTTTATGCTTTGTGTAGATTTGCCATCTATTTGTCAGCTATCAGGAGGGTCAAGGCAAATTGCAACGGTAAAGAGCACATAAGCTACTTGCTAACCGCAGTTTGGCCAGTAGCATTGAAGAACAGGCCGGTGAATTCCTTGCTCAAAAGAATTAACAATTAATAAACGAAAATTTACACCTCACATGAAAAGCAACCTACAAACCAATTGCGTCTCTGCCCCAACTAATATTTTACTATTTGACCTGCATTTTTGCCATGTCAGTGTTCATGATGGAATCGATACTGAAAATGGTCGACCTTAGTGTTGCATTTGCAAATATCTTGAGTCCGATGGACTCCACGAAACTTTCGACTTCTTGGCGCCAAGGAAATCGTTTGCCTTCACAGCTGCATTGCACATGGAAGCCGTCCAAAGATGAAAAACGCTGCCCGTGTTACTCGCCAATACGATATCATCTGCGTAGTCTAAGTTAACAAGATATCTAGCTGAATACCTTAAATTGCGCATCTTGAACTACGGTTACCTCTTTTAGAATGAGATCCTCGCATTTTCCAAGATCTGCGCTATTTCGGAGCAAAAAATTGAGAGTAGAGTTGAATACTCAACGTAGAGCA